ACTATGCAGCTTTTAAACAAAATTGGAAAAGCGTGTAACAGAATCTGGCCGAAAAACTGTTCCGTAAAATCCGTATTTACGCTCTGTTTATTTATCAAAAAATATACATTAGGGCAATTACATTTTGCAAAATTTTTCGAAAACAAAATTTGGTATGGGCGTGGAAGATTTAATGTATAAAACTAAGCGCATTTAAAAAAAAAATTAAAAAAATATAAAACTGATTCGGGCTTTAATATTTAAAAATAAATAAAATTGGGTATTTTTGTGCGAATACATAAACTTTTGTTCAATAAAGCATGCTACAAAAACTGGTACAAATCTAATGTTTAAGGCTGATAACAATGTTGTTTGTTATCACTGATAGCAAAGAACATTATTGTGAATAATTTACGGCCAACCACCCATTTAATATTAGGGTGATAGGGGGTGCTGAACATGCTAGTCATAAATTAACACTTTTAAGCATATAAGACAATAATATAATAAAAGCAAAACAGAAGTTGAACAAAAATAATAGTGATTAATATCATCGGCATGACTAGTTGCATGACAGTTTGTCCCGGGCAGCAGATGTCCAAGGGGTGCCAAAGAGTTACGTAAAAAAATAAGGTTCTTTACTGATATAGAAAAATTTAAAATAATAGGGGCGCCGATCAGGTTTTTCTTAGGCCACGTGATAACTCTCCATGCCATGTGATAACCCCCACTCATAAATATCTGAAGAAACTTTCTCTTTATAGGTATTACTATAAAAAATTAATAAAAGAACAGAGAGTTCAGAATGCCCCCTCTTCCAGTTAGAAGTTAGTGAAGTTGCGTGGGGATTCCTACCCACTTCTATGATCAATTTATCAAAAAAATGTTTTATTTTAGGGAACTGTTTTATAAAAAGCCAATTTAAAAGTCGTGTCACTTTTCCTAAATAATGCCTAGACCACCCCCAAAATAAAAAAGTTAGGCTTTAAAATGATTTTATTTTTAAGCCTCACTTTTTTGTTTTGAGGGTGGTCTATTTTTATGATTTTTTAATTCGTTTATTTTGTTTAAAAAAAAAACGAATCAGTTCACCTTCTAATACCTAAACCTTAGAAAACTAATATAAATTTAATTTTATAAATTTACATAAATAAAGTTCAAATAAATAAACCAGCTCCAGGTCCAGGTTTTGTCATTGCACATTTTTTTGAAACTTTACCTGTAGATATACCAATGGTGTTTTATATAATTTTCTTTGATCATTAATTAAATCAGAAACAACACGCTCATACACAAATGACTGAATTTCGGACATTATTGTAGAAAAAACTATTAAAGGGAGTTCATGTATGGAATTTTCTGAAACCAATAAACAAACTGGACCTTTATATTTCTTTGGATCATTGGTGTTTCTATCAAGTAGAATAATTACTTGTCTTTAATTTATTAATTTAGGTGTAGTTGAGATCCAACTAAATGTAATTTTCTATTTATAAATTTTCTAGCTTAGCAACGAGACCATTGTCTGTATTTGAACTTGTATTGTCAAGAACCACAACTTCAAGAGTTTTGGTGCTGTTGAACTCATTTAGAAGTTCTTTAGTTTGCATTCTTTAGCATTTGCTTTAGAAACTCCAATTCCACTTGTAATAGTTTTATGTGTTATATATATATATATATATATATATATATATATATATATATATATATATATATATATATATATATATATATATATATATATATATATATATATATATATATATCCCTACTACCAATTTGTGTGGCTGCACCGTAGCTGCGAAGTAGCATTGAGGTAACATACTGTAGCGGGTACGCAGCAAATGGCTGTCGCGGACATATTGCCCCTACGTAGCAAAAGAATGCGCGAAAATTCTCAATGTGCGGTAAAGCATAGTGTAACTTTATTTATTACAACCTTTTATTTACTTTCAAAAGTTAAATTTTATTGGTCCAGGAATCTTGCAATTAATTCCTAACTAACTTTTAAAATATATATTGTTATATTTTATTTTTAAATTCAATTGATACTTTGAATAAAAACTTTTAATTTTATCGAATAAGTTTTTTTGCAGTTCAGCGAAATTTAATTTTTGAAATTAAAGTTTAATGACCACATTTTGAAAAGACTTTTACAAAAACCAGCAAAGTGCCAGCTACTTGTGTGCACAACGATGAGCACCTTACACCGGTTTACGCCAAGTACTTTACATCAGTGAAATTTGTATTGAAACACAAACCTTTAAATAATCAGAAGCCTTAACTGTACTAGTTTTTATCACAGATTATAATAGAGCCTATCATAATCCGTGATAAAAACTACTTCAGGTAACTAAAACTGGGTCAAAATTATAATAGTACACTATAAAATCAGTCAAAAAAATACAAAATAAAAATAACAAGACATGAAAAATATCCAGCATAATATTAAAATCATTAGTAGGATTTTGGTCTATTTATAACATTTTTTGTTTTGTCTTTTTAAACATCAAATTTTTGATTTCTTGGTTATTTTTTTTAGTCTTATGTTTATTTGGGTTTTTTTCCCATATAAGAATCACAATTATGATTCTTATATGGATTCCTCAAGAATTTCAAAATCTGTTCTTTAGACTAAGGTTCAGTGAACCTGATTTATTTATAATCCAGAAATTTTTTTGCCCCCAAAGCATACCTTTTTTTTTGCATTTAATTTTTTTTTCTAAACGTCTATCTGATAGGCATTTATGTAAATCAATCAATCAAATATAAATAAGTTATTGGACGCTACCATTACCTTGGACCAAAAATCATAGGAAGAATGGAGCGCATAGCAGAAATTTCCAAAGAAGTCACTAAATTGTGGAAGAATTAAGTGAAACTTCCTCAGGTATTTGATCAAGTTATACAAGCAAAGCTTGATAAAATACCGGAAATTTGGTCCTTATACTTTGATGGCAAGCACATCGACAGAATGAATTATCAAGTGGTCGTCCTTAAAAATAAAAGAAGAGAAATCCGATTGGATGTCCTTGGCTTGGTAGATGGCAGGGCTTTAACTATAGCTCAAGGCATTTCTAAAGTCCTCGATGAATTTAACCAATGGAATTCAATACAGATGATTGTTGCAGATATCGCCAGCGTTAACACTGGAAAAAAGAATGGTGTTGTTGTAATATTGCAACGAATGTTCACAGAAAAGCGCATCAACAAACCTTAGTTTTTCAGTGAAGAACTTCTAAGTAAAACACAATCCCCAAACATCAAATATCCATTTGTATCTCAACTGTTGAAGGAGTACAAACAACTAAAAACACAGTTTGATAAAAGAACAGAAGTAGTTCTCAAAACATCAGGCTGAAGAGATGATGTGAAATTTTTGTTTAATCTCACTTGAGTATTCCAATTTTTTTGAGGAAAAGGGACATTTTTCATTGATCAGGTTTCAGAAAATACCCAACATCAGCAATGCAAGATGAACTCCAGAGGTATACAAACGATCCTGGCCTTCATTTTATTTCCTTCAACAAGGACAGTTCTGCAGAGAGTATGTCGATTTATATTGTATGGCTGGGCATACCATTGGTTTGCAGACCAACTGTACAGTGAAAACAACTTTTATAAGTTGGCTGAAATACTTAATCCATAAAAAAAGGCTTTAGGCCCTTTGAAAAATCACTGGAAGCAAGAACTATCCATACTACATATACCCAGAAGTAATCAATGCGCAGAGTGCGCAATCAAAGTAATGGAGGAAATTTGTTCATCATGCAAAAATAAAGAAAAATTGCACCTTTGATTCCTTCCGTGCAATAAGCAAGAGCAAGGTTAACAGTCTGAGTCATTGTTGGATTGAAAATTTATTGTATTACATGACTATGGCATTGTAAATACATTTGAATACATAATATACTTATGTCAAAATTGATTTTTCAATGGCAGGGTGAACTTTTTTGAAAAGATATGCAAATAATAGTTCATTTCGTGCTCTTTAGGCAAAAGTTTATCAAACTATAATACAGAAACATCACGGGGTTGATAAAAAGTCATAATCATAATATATATATATATATATATATATATATATATATATATATATATATATATATATATATATATATATATATATATATATATATATATATATACATATATACATATATACATATATACATATATACATATATACATATATACATATATACATATATACATATATATATATATATATATATATATATATATATATATATATATATATATATATATATATATACATATATATATATATATATATATATATATATATATATATATATATATATATATATATATATATATATATATATATATATATATATATATATATATATATATATATATATATATGTATATATATATATATATATATATATATATATATATATATATATATATATATATATATATATATATATATATATATATATATATATATATATATATATATATATATATATATATATATATATATATACATTATTACTGCTAATTAAGTTTAGCATGATCCTCATATATTCTACTTGATTTACTTTGGATTTTAATTTAGACATTTTTTAAAATGAAAGACATATAATAACAATAAAAGTATTCGTTTTTCAGTATAAAATATGTAATATATATAAAAATGTAACTGCCATAGACAATGTAATACTGTTGTTGGTTAAAACTAGATTTTAAAAATTAAAAAAATCAGAATAAAATCTAAAAAATTTGAAATTACTTTTCTAAAAGATCAGTCTCTTTCTTTATATTATATACTTTTTCAGCAAATAAATGTAAACTTTTGCTGTACATAAAATAAAAAAACTAGATCAAAGTAAAGTTTAAATATGCAATTTTTTAAAATATAACAAATTTGATTTACTTCCACAATTAATTTTATAGTTTAAAATTTTAAGTAACGTTTAATAAGAAAGCTTTTTTTGTTGTTGGTAATATACAAGTTCTATTAGCTATTTTCTTTATTTAATATTTTGCAGGTTTTTGGTGCATCAGAAGTTGATGCAGGTGAATATTTGTTTATTTTGCTTTTGTTTATGCTTTTTTAAACATAATTTGAAAGTGTACATTATTATAAAGCGTCTTTTTTATTTTTTCTAAAAAAAATTTTTTTAATCAAATTTTTCAATGTTTCTTAGAGAATCTTGTTGTGGTCTGCCCTAAATTAATTTAATTATTCAAGTTAATTTTATTTTTTAATCTAAATTAACTTCTATTAGTTTTTGATTTCTTTAATTTTTAAACTCAAAATATATTATTCAATCTCTTACCCAAGTAGTTACTACCCAAAGTTTTCTGAGTAAATTTTGCAAATCATTTTCCAGACAAACATAATGGTTTATCTTTGCTTAGGTTTAAATCTCTGACAATAGCTTGTGCTCAGTTCTTTCTTTCGGTTATTCAGACCATGCTACAATCTCACTATAATTTTTATTTTGTGCTATTTGGTATGTTTACTTAGTATGATATATCTGCTTAAAAATATGAATCCTCATAATTTTTAAAATTTAGGCAGGCATGAAAGCTTTTATTCATAATTAATGGCTTTAAGTAAAGCTTCACTCTAACTCATGACATATCAGTGCAAGTAATGATGTGAAGAAGCTACTAGCAATAAAGCCTATTATTCTAACATTTCTAAATCTTGTATTTTATCTCAGAAGTTTTAGATCAATTTGGCAAATTTGAATAGTCTCATCAAAAGCAAGTTTACTATTTCATTTTACTGAAGTCAGATTACATTACCTCTACCAAGGATAAGGAATAGCTATTCGCAAAAAACCTTTCCTTGAATTTTTTATTAATTTATTTGCAAAGCAAAAATATTAAAAAATACTTTTCTTACCAACTAAAATGTCAAAATTGATTGCGAGATTAAATTTTACCAAAAAATAGTAAAGGGGTTCAAACATTATGACGTTTTTTAATTGGTATCTGCCCAAATTTTTAATAAGGATGTTTTCTGATTTAATTAGAAAATTTCTTTTAAAAACCTGCAGGTTTTATGATAAAATTTAGACTCTGTTGATGGAATTTACACTTAAAAGTTATTACAAAATCTTTTTTGTCAATAAAATTTCTGTATCTTTTTATTTAAAATGAATCTTTCAAATTTTAGTTTGACCTATTGGTTCATAAACCAAATAATGTTTTGAATCTCTTCTCTGTATATCTCTAACTATATTTATATTTCTCTATGATGAAATATAAATATAGATTTAAAAATTGTATATCTACTAAGTATTGTCCCTTTAAAATATAAACATTACTATGAAAAGTTTTAAATCCTTTAAAATATGTTAGTTCTTGCACATATTAAAGGAAAATACACTTTAGTTATAATTTAGATTTACTTTGGTATTAAAAAGATTAGCTTAAAGAGATTCCAGTATCAATTTAAAAAGATTAGCTTAGTGTTAAAGAGATTCCAGTATCAATTTAAAAAGATTAGCTTAGTGTTAAAGAGATTCCAGTATCAATTTAAAAAGATTAGCTTAGTGTTAAAGAGATTCTAGTATCAATTTAAAAAGATTAGCTTAGTGTTAAAGAGATTCCAGTATAAATTTAAAAAGATTAGCTTAGTGTTAAAGAGATTCCAGTATCAATTTAAAAAGATTAGCTTAGTGTTAAAGAGATTCCAGTATCAATTTAAAAATAAATTTTATGTAAAAGTACCTTTGTGTTTAGGAAAAAAGATTGTGTTATATTTATTACATTAAAGGTAGTTTAATAATAGTTATGTTTTTTTATTCAAAAAATTTAACAATAATAATAATTATAATAATAATAATAATAATAATAATAATAATAATAATAATAATAATAATAATAATAATAATAATAGTATTATAAAGTATGTAATTAGGCTTTCCAGATGTCTGGTTTTTACAAAGGAGAACACAGTAAAAGAAATTTATTTAACAGGTTTGGCACTGTATTTTCCTCCGTAAAAGCCAACGTCTGGCAACCCTATATCTAATGCTATTACAAAATATTTTCAGGAAAAAGAGCTGGTTTTATTGCATCAATAATGTTTATTACAAGAATATTTAGCAGGTAAGTCTAACTTTTTCTATAAACATTCTTTTAAATAAAATCAAATATTTTATATAAAAACCTGGTTAAAAATACGTTGTTTTAAGTTTAAGCAAAATTATTTATTTTAATAATAAAGTTAAGGATTCATAAGGATGGTTTTACTCATACAGAATCTTATCAAAGGAGTGATAACAATTTTAAAATATAATATAAATAACAATAAGCACATAGATATATAACATACATTAAAAAATAAGCATGTAGAAATCTTAATTTGCAGGTTTTAATACAAAAAAAAATGTACTGATGATAATTGCAGTAATGACAAAAAGAAAATCAATATCATATTTCAATAATAAAAGATAATATATCAAGAAGTTGAAATAAAATATTTTTTAGAATTTTTTAAAATTGTTTGTTTAAGATGAAAATAAAACATTAGCTCAAGTTCTTGTGTAGCTTGGCTATGTGAAAGTTACATAAAAGATTACTGTCAATCAATGCACCATGATATTTAATAACTCTAAAAGGATAAAGTGGTTTATTATTAAGTTTTTAATTTCATAGATTTTGTAGAAATAGTTTTTTCTTGGACATGAAATATTATTTCAGATTTTTCCGTGTTAAGACGTTTCAGGTTAGCATTTAGCCAGTGAAGTATACTATTTAGATCAGAATTTATTTTTACATAAGGAATATAAGGAATGATATGATTAATTGATATGCAATAGATTTGTAGCATCAGCAAACAAATGAAATGATGAGAAGTTAGGTTAGGTTGTTAATGTAAGTAAAACATAGAAGGACGAAGAACAGAATCCTAAGGAACACCACTTTTTAGCTCTAGTGATAAAACAGATTTATCACTAGAGCTAAAATAATTAATACAAATTGTTTTCAATCTTAAAAATAAGATCAAAATCAGTCATTTACAACACCATGAATTCCATAATGTCCTAATTTAGAAATCAAAATATTATGGTCAGTGGTATCAAAAGCTTTTTGTAAATCAATAAAAACACTACAAGTAAAATGACGAATATCAAAAGCTTTTCTAATTTTTTCTTATTAATGCCCCTTTTATGCGCTTATTTTATTACTATGTGGCAAGTGCAATGTTTAAATAAATAAAGAATTTAAAATCATTTAAACAATTAAATGAGTTTAGAAAAGAGTACACTTTAGAAAACATAAGTTTTTCAAGATACTTACTAATGTTAAATAAAAAAAAAATAGGCCTATAGTTAGTGCATAAAATTTTAAAGCCATTTTTAAATATTGTTATAACACAAAATAGTTTCAAAATGTCATGTTCCATTTATGAATGAGATATTAAATAGTTTAAAAATTTGTAATTAAAATTGACAAGAAAGTTTGTGGGAGCGCTGTTTGGACTTTATTGATTTTCTTGAATTCAATTTAGAAATAAGAGATGATTTTTCATGAATATATGTTGGAAATAATAGTAGTTTATTTAAATTTGGATATTTAGGATACTTTTGGTAGTTGACATAAAATGAATGAATTTGAGTCAAAGGGCAGCATTTGTAAAAAATAAAGTTACTTAAAAACCTCTGAAACATTTAACAAAAAGTGTTAAACGTTTCAGTTATGTTCAGTAACAGTTGGATCATTTTTTTATAAATAGTTGGGAGATGATTTAATAAATTTTTATTTATTTATTAGATTAATATAAATGTATTTTAAAGGGAAAATAAGCTTAAAACATCAGACGTGATGATGTCATTTTTTGATTGGATTAAATCAATATTAAAATTACTAAATAAGAAAACAGATTTAATTCAGAAATATTTTAAAGCAGGCTAGACATAATGTTATGAAAAGAATTGATATTCATGCAAAGATGTCTATAAATGCTGCCAACAATATTATACTTTTTAGAAAAAATAGCTTTAACAAATGTGGTTTCTTAACAATTAGGTGTGTAAATCATTAAATCATCTCTTTGTTTATATATTAGCTTTTTTTGATAACTATAAGAATGTTCCAGTACAAAATTAGTTAATGATAAAGTTATGTTTCAATTCTAAAAGTGTTTTTTGTTTTGAACATTGTTATGTTAAAAAAAAGGAGAAAATGTTTATTTTATTAAAGTTGTGATCAAAGTTATTAGACCGTACAGAATTCACTTGTATCATAGTATTTACTAATATGCCTAATAAAGAAGAATTTTTTTCACCAAAATCTAAAAGACAATATTTAACAAAATTATTGATTTGATTAGAAACATTTTTTTAATGAAATGATGGGAAAAGGTTTGTAGACAGAGGTCAATCATCAGTTTTAATAACTTTATCAGAAGAAAATAGTAATTTAAATTCCTTATCTGGTACATCTGTGAATGGAAAAAAACAGTTTACACACTGTGTAATGAACAACTTAATTGTTAAAACTGGACTCAGTATCATTAAACTTGTTGCATTTTGTATGAGTCCAAAATAATTAAACATGCATTGAGTTGAGCAGCAACTTTAGCTAATTTTTTTTTTTTGCACAAATGACAGTTTAAAACCATAGTAGAACTGCAATATTAGAGAGAATGTAAGAAACAATAAGTATGAAGTAAACAACTATGTTAATACTAATAGTAAAAAAAAAAGTTACTAATTATTAGAAATAAAAGTGATTAAATTATTGAACACTCAAAGGTATGATAAGTAATAATAATAATGGTAGTATAAACAATAATGCAACAGCCAAACAAAATAGTAAAGTATAACAATGACAAAATGTTGATTAAAGTTATAAAATTAAGTTAAATAAGTAAAAAACTTAAAAAAGAAAGTTGAGAAAAATGTAAATTAACAATATAATAGTAATAATATAAAAAAATATTATATATTGCAATATATTAAATAAATAATACAATAATAAATTAATATCTAAAATAAATATAAATAAAAGCGCACTATATAAAATATAATAATGAAAAAGTAGATTAAAAAAAAAAAAGTAAAAATATTTTTTTTTCTTTTAATAAATTGATCTTTATTTCTTAACTTCTTATTAAGTTTTTTTTATCTTTTTTTCCTCTTTCCTTTTGCTAAAATAAAATCAATTTATAATTGGATTTTTCTTTTGTAAGTTTTTTAAGCATATGCTACATTTTAGTGGTCTTTTATTATTATCATTAATTTAATATTTATTATATTATTGTTTTTATTACTACTATTTCTTTCTTTTTCTTTTTCAAACCTCTTTTCACTTGGTTTAATAGTTTTGGTCTTAATTAGTTTGAAATCTCAATTTAAAATACTTAACTTTACATTTCAATAATGGTATAGTTTTAGTTATTCAAAGAATAGTTCAAATACAAGGAAGGAACAACAAATTAAAACCAATAATTATTTATTTTAAATTTAAATTTTAGAACTTTTTTTCCAAATAATTTTTTTCAAATAGTTTAAAATATATTGCATAAATATCAAGAGATGTATTTTCAAAAAAATTTAAAGACTTGTTTTTTGACAAACTTGTTGAGATGAGAAAAAAATTAAAAT